GGTTCATTCTTTCGCAAGTATCCAGTGTGCTTGGAGCGTGTGTGTTACAGCTGGGCGTGATAGCGAAGTGCAACATTTTTCCTTCACGTTTTTGCATCTCTGCATAATGGTGTGATTTTCCCATCCTGCTCCCCGCGCCGTGTAATAAAGTCTCAATACAGTCTGAAGAAATCAGGTCTTTTGTTAGACATTTCGAAGGCAGTGTTTACAGTGTTAAAATACTTGGTAACTTGCATATTTTTTTGTTGCTTTTTTTTGATGTTCATTGGTGGTTGTTTGAAAACCATACACAATGTTGAGAGTTGTTCTTTAAACCGCTTGCGGTTCTAGGTTACAGTCTTGTAGAACTTTGTTGCACCTGTTTTTATTCTGGATAGCCAGTGTTCTGTAACTGTTCTGTCATGAATTCCTACAGGCAAAAGCTTTGTGCCCCTTTCTACACTGTTCACCTTCCCAAGATGTTAAAAGTATTTTCTACTAACTTAACTCTGTTATTTTTATAATTCCTTGAGCTATTCAGTTTGTAGTGATGGTAGTTGTCAGTTTTGCATCCAGGGGTCTGGTGTAGAAAGGATTGTTGATACCCCTGGGAAACTGCCTATAAAAGTAGATTAATTGCTGTGAGAGTATCTTCTATGAGTAGTTGCATTGCAGGTTAGAGCTTCAGTTTTATGTCAGAATCTTTTTGACTTGTCTTGAGATCTGGTTAAGTTGTCAAAGCCATAGGGTGGATCACCTTGTCAGGTAATGCAGGAAGATAGCTGCCTCAGTTTGAGGTTAAATACTTGAGGTTAAATTGTCCCTAGCCTTTAACTATGAGTGTTGTGTACTTATGTTTAGCATGACTAATAACCCAGAACCTAATGATTAAAGAGGAAGTACCTAATGATTAGATAGGAAGAAAATTAACAAGGGCAGAACACATGCGCAGATCTTCATCTTCTTGAAGATTGGTGATTTAAACACCATAGAGGCAAAAGAAGAAAAAAAAAATAAACCCAGGCCATTATGTGTGCAAGCTTTAACTGTTTTGGTTTTGTTTTTTTTTTTTTTTTTTTTTTTTTTTTTACTATAAGTGAAGTGTGTGGTCAAGAAGTTCCTTTCAAAAAGACTTATTGCTTTAATGAGTAGGACCAAATAGCAAAGCTGCAAACTGAAGTATCCACTGGAGTTGACTTCTGACAAGGCTAGATATAATCTCTTTGGACGATTTGTTTTTTTTGGTCTGAATCTTATATGTCAGAAAGAGAAATTATATAAAATTTTGTATTTTGAGATTATCTCTTTGTGTATAGGCTGTCTGGTAATGCCTGGATTGGTAGGCTTCAAAGTATTTGTTTTCTGTCAAGAAAAGAAATTCAGTGAAGGCAGTGGCAGGCAATTATCTCCCAGGTTCTAGCTGAAAATTGAACAGTAACTTTATGTTTTAAGGTTTTATAGCTGAAATCTTTTACTGAGGCTTTTGGGGGAGATTAAGCCATTCACAAGCAGATCTCAGGGATGAGAGGAAGGAGAACTCTTTGTGAGAAGTTTCAACTTTCTGTACTTCTGTACTTTTACTAACTTTTTTTTTGCCTTTTTTCTCTAAGTCATTTTTCTCTAAATCATTGGAACCATTTCCTCTAAATCATTCGAGTTTGGCAGTTTGGTAATAGTCTTCCTCAAGTTCTGTCAGTATGTCCAGAGTGCTAACATGCAGGCCATTTGTTTTCAGTTGTGACTTAAGAGCTGGGCTATCATCCAGTCTGTGCTTTTAAATTCTTTTGTTGGAGAAGAAATGATATTGGTTGTTTATAAACAAATGGTTGCAAGATATAGTAAACAGTACTTGTAGGCTTTCTCTAAATGTAAGTGTCTTTTGAAGCAATGGAGTAAGGGACAAGGTTCTTTATTATTATTGACGATATTTGAAGGCACTGCTTCAGGTGTTTCTCTTTACTGTCTGCCAGCCAGGGGGAGGTGCCAGTGTTTTTGGATCTTTTATGGCTTTTTTTTATATTTTTTTTTTGTCTTTTCTCCAGTCTCCTCCTCCTCCATTTGAGAATTTCCTAATCAGTTCTGTTTGGTAAAACATATTAGAAGTGTGAGCTTCCTGTACTTATCCCTTTGATAGATCTAAAAACTAATTTGGATGATGATGATTTCATGCTTTGCTGATTCTATTTTGTCTTTTTTTTCTTTCTTTATTTTTTTTTATTTTTTTATTTTTTTTATTTTCTTCCTGTCCTCAGTTTCCTTGCAGGATTGTTCTGCAGGGAAAAAGTCACCTTTTTGCACTTTGCACTGAATTCTTAGATGAGTCTCTTTCTTCTGTGAAGCAAGGCCCACAATAAATTAGAAGTGTGTGTTACAATTTATAAGTTAAACAGAGACATTTTGGTTATCATCCCAATAAACTTACACCTATTTTGAAGTATCTATGCAATCTGTTACCTCCTCTCCCCCTGAACAATTTTAAGTGTATTTAATGGATCATTTACATAGAGAATTATAATCCTGCCTTCTGATGTTTGCACATCCAAACATTGCTCTTTTGGCTAATGAGGTTGGGGTTAGGTGAAGAAAAGAATAAAAGGCATTCTAAACTGAGGACTGCAAAAGGTTTTCACTGCTTCTGTATTTTCTGCTCCTTTGAAACAGTGGAGAGACTTGTTTTCACTCAATGTAAGTGGATTTAGCCAACCCTAAATTCTTAATATGGTTTCAGATATCTTTATCTTTAAAGATCTTTGGTAGTTGATCAGATTAAGGATTATTACTTGATCCTATTAACAATGATTGAACATGATGACTGGTATTACTGGGTATTGAGCCCTAGGTCTGATATATTGTAACACTTTGGAAATACTAGTATCTAGAAAAGAGGAGTAAGAACCTTTGAATTTCAGTGGTAATTCTGTTGCATTTTGTAATTTTTGTGTACTTTTTTTTTTTTTAAGGAGGAGAATGTACTATATTACATTTATTTCATAATCTGAAAGAAGAATATAATTTGATATAATGGCAACAGGAGACCTAAAAGGAAATTTAAGAAAAATAGAACAAGGACTTCGCTTGTTAAATTATCCGAAAGATGTGGATTATACAGTGTAAGCAGCAGTGTGAATAAATTTATGCTAATACATGATGACAGCAAGATGTGTAAACAAGATCTGTATAAATATTAGCGTTGCACCTAGTGATAAGTAAGCAGAGCGTATGTCTGTGGGAAGTTGGGGTTTGATACATGTGAAGTGAAAGGTGAAAGGATGCAGTTTTGCTGTTCTGAGGAATCCTTAGAATAATCCTGAAGTGTGTCACTATCTTGCTCTTCTTTCTTCTGATTTTTTTCTTTTTTTTTTTTTTTTTATTAATCTCTCACCCTTATAATTTCTTGGTAACTGCTAGCAAAACTTTCTTCAGGAAATTTAATCCTGTAAAGATTAAAAAAAAAAAAAAAAAAGGTGTTGAATGTAGAGATGGAAATGCTGGTGGACTTTAGGCCTGACAATGTTAAAATTATATGAGGGTCACAAAAAAGTTGTTTTGAGCATTTTACAAATAATTGTAAAGACTACTGAATGAGGTTATGCCTGAAAAAAACCTTAAAATTAAGGAGTTACTTGCGTATAACATGCTGGCTGTATTAAAACACCTTTCAAGTTAAATGTTTGAGTTCATATAATGAAAGGCTTTTGTTATCTTCTGCTGTGTAAAACACTTTTGTTTCTCAATAGGTTAGTAAAGGGTGATCCAGCTGCATTTTTACCTATCATCAGCTATTGTTTTACATCTTTTTCAACTTACATAACAGAACTTTTGGTAAAGTGGGATGTGGAACTCACAGCAAAGAGTGATTTGCGTTTTATTGAAGCTATTTATAAGGTATCTGTCTTCGTGTTCTTTGCAGAAGAGACATAGTTTTGAATATGGCCTCATAAAAATTAAACATCTATTGTAAGTTTTACTAGAAAGTGAAAATTTTTGGCAATGAATGTGAGTTGTAATTCTGTTAGGATTTAAGATAGTAGTAAGTCACTGGGTCACAAGTCTTTATTTAGATTTTCATGAAAATAAGGATGGATGTTGTTAGCCAAGTCTCAATTTTGAGACAATTACAGAAACAGTAATATTATTTTATGTTAGTTTTGAAGAATACTGAAATATTTATTATACAATAAGTTTTATGTAAGCGACCTTAGAAGAAATCATAACCCACAAAAAAATCACAGCAAACTTCAGTAACGTTAATGAAAGCACGATTAAGAAATACTGCTATTTTAAAACACTATGCCATATTAACATATAAAGTTCAATACTTAACAGTTTATAAATTGGAATCAGATTCTTAACTGAATAAAAGTGATTTTGAACTATTCTTAAAAATATCCATAAGCACTTTTTTATAAAAGGTGGCTTGATGTATTAATGTATGCTAGTTTATTTAGAGGAAGCTCTGTGGGAACCTTACTTAGCCCTCTGACGCATTTGCTGAGATTAATACAGCTTTTTATTGTACACTTACTTTGGAAAGTTTTTTGTTTAAATTTTTAATATCAATATCTGCAGTCACTTAGTTCATTAATCTTAATACTGTGAATTAAACTTTACAAGAGTGATGACCATGAAATGTTTCTGGAAGAGGTGTGTTGAAAGTCTAGTTAGAAGAAACAGCTAAGAATATATAAATAACCAAATGAGAAAAGGTTTAACTGCTGAAGTGCAGAATGAAAGAAACGACTGTAGAAAAAGAAGAGCCTGAGCATCCCATTTCTAGAACAAATTGTGTGGTGATTTTGAAAGTGAAGTAAATTCTTATTTTGTTACAGCTTCTTCGAGATCAGTTCCAGTATAAACCAGTTTTAACAAAACAGCAGTTTCTTCAGTTTGGCTTTGCAGAAAGAAAAATGCAGATTGTTTGCGACATTATCAACTGTGTGGTGAAAAAACATAAGGAATTAAGTAACTCGAATAAGGTACTGATTAAATGGTAACTTTATTATGAAATAAATTTCTTTTGACATGCTTGGTGCTGCAGGTAGGAGCTGAAGAACAGTTGATTTGAAGGTGCAGCATCACTGATAGTCAAGATGGGGGAAAATTACTATGAAGTTCCAGTGTAAGATGCTTGAATGCTGTCAGGTATACAAAAGACAAAAAGCTGCCAGTGCTTTGTAGTATAAACAAAAAAATATTAGATTGTAGATAAATCTAGTACTTGGTATCTTTACAGAAGTGATATATTTTCTTTCACACTTCTCAACGTGAGTGTGTGTGTGTGTGTGTAACTCGGTAGACTTCCCAGGTAGTTTTAAAAACAAAGCAAAACCATCTGGTATGTTGAGGTTTTGATAGCATTTAATTTAAGCATGACTCTTTTATTTGTGTTTCAGTGGTATACATCTCAAATATGATAATTTTCATGAATCGTATCCGGTTTACATTGTTAAGGCATTATTTTTTATCAGTGCATGCTGTATATCAGTGTATGCATTAATAAAATGAATTTTTAGTCTTCATATTTTACAGGATTTTTGTTTAATTTGCATTTATAACAGTCTTCAGGACTTCTGTATATTTCATTTGTTACTTTTGGGGGCATAACTACATTTTTTTTCTTACTTGTTTGTCTTTCAACTCTGGTGCAAGTTGTCTTTTTTCTTTACAATCACCTTTGATGCAGCCTTCCATAGGCATTAATGAGCATGTGAATATGGCATTCACTTCCAGTTCTGTTTTCTCTGTAAATTTGGGTCATAATTTTTTTTATTATACATTATTGTACTGCAGAGGTTTAAATGTGTTTCTGTGTGTGCCATGCAATATTCCTGCCTGTTAATGATGGCCGAAAATAGGGTGTGTCATCCTGTCTCCATTGCCTGCACCCCCAAAAATATTTCTGTGTTAGAAGCATAATATTTTCTCCTCTTCACTTTGAAGGTTAAATCCCAAACAAGCAAAAAACTCAGATCTTTTAAATATGAAGTATTGCCAAATTGTGATAATGTCCTTGCTGATCCTAGTGGCAGTGCTCTGAATTCCAAACAGGTACGAAAATAGTTTTTATTTTGTGTGTCTAGAGGATAATCTGATTTGTAGCAAGTCAGGCTCTTTCTGAATTATGTGCTTTCATTTAGGTTTTAATGTCTGATCAGACCAGTTTTGTTTTGTTGTTTTTTGTTTGGTTTGGTCTCCCCCTTCCCCCCGAAGTGTGGCTGACTGGAATAATAGCTGAAATACAGAGGATATTGCTTCTCTTTTGTGTAGTAGTTATCTCAAAGGCTTGATGGTAATGATCTAGCCCTGTTGTTTGCTGTTTGAATTATATCAAATGGAGGGACAGCAATGGAAGTGAAAATGCAATTGGAAAAAGAATATACATCCTGTTTGGAGACTGAAGTGTGTTTGACCTAACATTGCAGTGTTTTCAGTGTAGCTTTCAAAACACTTTTTGCTTTTTTTGACTGAATCTGTTCAGCAAAGATTTCTTAATGCACGCTTTTAGCAGTGAGGAAATCTTCACAAAGAAAATATTTGGAACCAGCACTTCTGGTTGTAGAATGGTAGAACTGAATGGGGACCTGTGTGCATGTATTAAGAAATCCCTAGAGGAGGAGAGTTTCGGCTTCACTAAGACATCTAGGAATCTGTAAGTGTTAAGATGCAGCACAAAACTAGTAATTGTGGGTTCTTAATCACTAGGTAATTTTGGTTTGTGGCAGGTAGTGATTGTAGGACTTGATCCACCTGGAAAGACAGGCAAAATTTCTGTCTTATTTTGTTCTCTCTAAGGAAAGCATTCAAAGTAGATGAAATGTGTAGCTACTAGGGCTGTTTTGCTGATAGTTGTCAAGAGAGAGTTCTATCTTCCTAGTTAAACTTTTTATTTCTGAATGTTTTGAGTGGTGGTTCTGATGTTGGAACTGTCTATACATATATTAATACATACAGGGAGATTCATACCTCCCAAGCCACACTTAGAAATCTAACAACCCCTACAGTAAGAGAGGACTTTAATACCTTCATTACTGTTCATGGAAGGGAAGCAAGGTACACAGTATGTATGGTAAAGTGTGTTCGTATTTGTTTACAGTTCTTTCATGTTTATATGATTTTTTAAATTAAACTGCCTGCTGTTGCTTTCTGTGTTTTGCAACCAGTTGGGAGAGGATAGTCAGATTTAAAGAAATAAATAAATACTAGAATTATAGGTCTTCTGTTGGTTACTTGGCAGATGAACTGGAATGTTTTTGTAATGAGTAACACCAGTGATTTTTTTTTTTTTTTGACATGCTTAAAAGAAGCCTCATGTAGAACGACACTCAGGAAATGAAGTTAGTGGTGACATTCATCCACTACCCCTTCCAGCACAGGGAGGTAATGGAGAAGAATTATACCTAGATCATGATGTTTTTGAAGTTAAATGTGAACAAGTAAGAACTTTTATTTTAAGATGCTATCTACATATATTCTTAACTTTTCTTAGAGGGCTTTTCTAAAAGGATAAAGGTTTTAACAAGATAGCTGGATGTTCCTTAAGTATAACGAATAGATATTGTGATGCGTTCTTATCAGCTTTTCTTCTGAACACAAATCCAAAACACAGCCTCTTGCTAGCTATTATGAAGAAAGTTAACTCTGTCTCTGCTTAACCCAGGACAGATATATAATAAATATTTTGAAAAAGTTGAAAAAAAGTCAGTTAAATTGTACTGTCCTTTCAAGAGCCAATTCTGTCAACAGTTTCTTTAAAAGCTGAGTTCCATGAATAGGCATATTATGTGAATTCTGAAAAAAAATAATTTTCTAGTGTAGCAGAATGTGGTTACTAAACTTGAGGAAGATTTAAGTTAATTTAATTGATCAAATGATGGATTATATCTGTTTTGAAGTTAGAGGACATGTTCTTATCCATATTTTCAGGTCATAGAAGATAGTTCTCAGATTGAGTTCCTAAAGAGTCAGCTTGCTGATTGCCAGGAAAAGCTTCATAAGCTAGACCGGATGGAAGATAAACTATGTGTTTTAGAAGAGAAACTGAAAGGAAAGGTCATCGTAGATGAGAAGGACTGGGATAACTTGTTGAGTCGAGTTTTGCTTCTTGAAACAGAGCTGTTGTTGCAATCCAAAAAGGTATGTTAATTTCTGTGTTTCTTCTATAACAAAAATTGCCCAGGCACAATGCTATCAACCTGTTTCTGCCCTTCCTGCCTTCTGATGTATGCTTTTTCACTATTTTTAAAGGCATGATCTGAATGGAAGTGCTGTTTATGCAGTTGGTGGTATTTTTTTCTTAACTGTTAAGTTCTACTGTTTTCTCATGCTCTATGAAGCAAAGCTCTCAATTGGAAACTGTTTCCTTGCAGGAACAGCAGGTGTACCTAAGACTTTTTTAATTAGTAATGGCTGTGTGTGTTTTTTATTTCTTAGTGAACTTGGAAGCTTTTGAGGATTCGTGTTTATGCTGTCTTTGAAAGCTTAATGTTTCTGTAGCTGAGAGTTTCATCATACCAGTTTAATAAACCCTTCATTTAAGGGTTTCCTTATTATGGTCTGCATTATTCTGAATTTCTTATACTGCCCTGCAAATGTTGTTGCTGTTGATATGGTTGAATATCTATTTTTTTAATTCTTCAAAGTCTAACTAGATACAGATATTCCCTTTGGAAGATTAAGTCTTCATTCTATATAACTAACATTGAGAAAAATAAATGGCATGCTCAATGGTAAATACAAAGTTAACAGAAAATTGAATTCTTACTTTAGCCCTACTCTTAGTTTGTAGCTCTTTGAAATTTCTAGTGTAACTGATGGTCTTTCTCCTTTTTGCACTCCCTTGCCCCCCTTCCTGTTTCTTGTCCATCATGTTCCTTGCATTTTTAAATGTGTGAAAGTGTTGCAGTTGTGATGTGTCTACATTTGTCATATTTCTAAGAGCAAATCAAGTATTTCATTGCATGAAAAATAAGTCTTAATGCTGTTGAAAGGTCCTTGTAGGCACATCATATAATTTCATTATATGTACACATGTAAGTATTTTGAGATGCAGGGAACCATAGCATCAATTTTGTGATCACATGCTTAATTTCAAAGTGTGTTTGCATATATATCTCATGTGTATCCTTCAGATAGTGTCAGATGCTTTCCAGAAGTTGAAAACCCTGTGGAAAACAGTTGATCAGTGTTGCATTTTTCTTTGTAGTTGTAAAAATGTTGATTTTACTTAACTTTACTGTAACAAGGAGCTCTGAATGTGCGGGCCTTGCAAATTTGAAAATGTCGCTAATACTTGTATACAAGACATGGCTTTTTTCTGTGTGCCTTGAAAGTGTGCTAATTTTGGAAAGTCTTGAAATTAATTAGTGTTTAGACTGATCACTAGGTTACTTCTAAAAATTGAAGCTCAAATGATGAGGATTAACATTCTCAATCACTTCTTTTAAGCACAGTTTCAGTTCAGTAATGCCTCAGATGATTTGCCATTTGAAATCAATTTCTTATAGATGTTGTAATTTAATTATGAGTGGACATATGTCTAAATAACACCAACAGTGATAACATTTTATTCTACTAGCAGTGTTAAGAGACCTTCACCTGAACAGCCGTAGATGATTTTGCTCCTGTTTCGAGTGTATTCTCTTCAAGAGATGGTTGCTGCATTTGTGACAACAGCAGCATGGGAAAGCTTGTGTTTCAGACTAGGCTTGTTCTTTTATTTCTGTAAATTTGGTTTATTATTACTTCAGTAATGTGTTTATTGCAGTTGTTCAAAGATTTGGAATAGTATTTGGAAAATATTTGGAAAATACTTAATATTACTCAAAAAATTCCAGTAAGATAATTATATTTTTTACTGCATGTTACTGAAAGAAGTCATCTGCAGAAACAAGTTTGAATTTAGTTTGTGTGTGGCATTGTTGCTTGTCTTTTTTTTCAAAGCAAAATAAACTTTTTTATATTTAAAAAAAAAAGTCTTCAAAACCCTAACTTTTTTTTTTTTTTTAATAAGTGTTCGAAAACTGCCAAGAAATAATCCTTTGGGCCAGAGAATTGCTGCTTCTTTTTTTCATGAAATTCCATCCGAGTTGTGCTTCACAGATATAGAAGCAATTCGGAATTACTACTTTATTCTTACTCTTGCATTTTTCAGGGAACTTTTGGTATCTAGCCAACATAGCAGGAACAATCTAAGATCTGTCTTGCACTGGTGCCAAAGTAGCAGCAGCTGTGCATTTAGCTGTGGGAAAGTCTGAAAGCTACCAAATCCATTTAAATGAAAGGAATTGAGCAAAAGTAGCCAGTGCAGATATCTGGGTTTTTTTTAAGAGGTGTTCATTATTGCAGTTTTTTCCAGCTTCTTCCCACACAATACCTACTAATTCTTCATCATTCCCTTAGTAGGGCATAATATTCCCCAGTTAACTGATACAGTTACTCCAGTATATAAAGTGGTATACTTTACCAAAGTCTGAGATTTCAAATCATAACTATAACTCATTGGTGAAAAAAGTCTAGATTTGGTTGAGTGTTGGATTTTTTTTATTATTATTTTGAAAATATGTTATGGTTTTGTGTATGGCTTTGTCTGGTAGCAGGGAGGTGCCACAGTAATGGCTTCTGTAAGTAGCTGCTAAAGGTTTCCCTGGAGTCCAGCAAGGGAGGGGCTGCAGTGGCGGCTC